GGCTGGGGGATAAACCCCTCCAGGCCATCACCCTGGCCCCCACAGTAACTGCCTCTTCCGCCAGACTCTGCCTCCTAACAGCAAGTCAGCTCTAAAACCCACAATCCAGTCACCTTCCAAAAAGCCGCACCTACGAGCACACAAGGGTCTTGGGAGACATCTAGATATGAGCCATAACAACTCTTCCCTGTTTTGTATTCTGCCCTCTGAAACATGACACCCGCAAGGCGAGATTAGAAGACTGCTGTCCAACCTGCAGCAGATTTCACACAGGATTCATAAATTTTGCTGCGGTGAAGGCACTGCAGCTTTTAGTTTTGTTATGAGATTACACTGACTAGGATGGGCTCGGTGTTGATATCAGACAGCTCTTCGCAAGACTGGTTTTCTATCTGGGACTTTAGGTCCCCTGAATGTGTACATACCTGCAGTACAGTCTAGATTAGGCATGCCCCAATACTGCCAGGGGGTTGAGCCCAGATGGGTAATGCTGTGCACTGAAGCTATGCAAAATACAGGCCCAGGGCCCTGAGAAACATCTGAAGACTGCCCAGTTTAAGGAGAACAGCAACAGTGACAGTCTCTGGCCCCAGGTCAAGGTTCATGCCCTGGCCAGCACCTCTGACTTTCTAGCTCTGTTCTTTATCTATAGCACTTCCAAGTATGGTTAAAATGAGCACAATCATGCTTTCAGTGGCGTGCTGCGCTGCATTCACAATCTGAGTGACACATTATTTTCAGAACATTTTTAATGCACACTTACTCAAACTTTTCAACCTCAATTGACTGTTAGTGGATAGGGGATATAGTTTCTGCACACAGTGGCTACCATGGTCTGAATGCTTGCCCCACTGTATGCTGAAACTGAATCCTCAGTGTGATGGTTTTTAGAGGTGGAGACTGTGGCAGGTGATTAAATTATGGGGGCAGAGCTCTCATGAATGGGATTAGTGCCTTCCCTTGTGAAAGAGGCCCCAGAGAGATATCTTGCTTTTCCCACCGTGATAGTTTAGGTCTAGGCTGTACCTCAAAAGTCTCATGTTCAGAGGTGGGGCTTTCCTAAGGTGACTGGATTATAAGGCTCCATAGCTTCGTGGCTGTTAGCAGGTGCGCCTGGTGGGAGGTGGGTCACTGAGCACCTGGAAGGCTGTCTTCTTGTCCCAGCTTCCTCCCTTCTCTCTCTGCTTCCTGGCTGCCATGGTGTGAGCAGCTTTTCCCTGCCAGACCCTTCCAATATGCCACGTCTGCCTTGGAGCCAGCCAACCATGGACTGAAAACTGTGAGCTAAAATAAACCTCTCCTACTTTCATCTGTGGTGTTGGCTATTGTGTCCAGGAAAATGACGAAGACACCCGCTATGTGAAAACACTGATCCGGGAAACAGGTACTGGACAGATGTTCAATCTGATGGCGCCATGATGTTGGACTGTGCCTCCAGAACTGTGAGAATGCCAAGGATCGGGTAGTTTTTTCTGAACAGCTGTCATTTCTGTGACAGCAATCTGAGCTGCCGAAGGCAGCGGCACATGGATTCATTTGTCCCACAAAATAATAAACGGTGCATCATCTGACTCGCATTTATATGTCAAAAGAATGGAACTACTGCTTGTATCTTTTTTCTAGAGATGATAAACAGAATAGAGTAGCAAAATCAGCTTAAAAATAGAAAACCTGAAAAATACATAACCATTATAGAAATCAAATCAGTATTTGAGACTTTCCAGCCTCAACTTCCCCCTACCATCTGCATTTCTCCTTCTCTGCTAAAGACCCCTGCCCAGGATGTTTCACTGGTGGGGCAAGTGGCTCTCTGCGGCAAGGAGGGCTGATTGCTATTCTCTGAAACAATTTGCTTAAGACACAAAGACAGTGACAGTGACCCATCTGATTCTATGGGTGTAGTATAATCTTAATAGTAAAAAGCACAGTACTTACAGAGGAAATTACAGGCCAGTATCACTTATATAAAAATGCTAAGATTAGGTCTGCAAATTCAAATATGTATATATTTATATATGTATATATGTACATATATATGTGTGTGTGTACACACACACACACACATAATAGGGTTTGTCCTGGGTTTGTCATGTTCAACATGAGAAAATCTATTTAAGTAGCACACAATACTGGGATTTTAAAGGAGAAAAAAGTAACTCGAGTCATATAAATTTAATAAATATAGGTATAAAAAATTCAAGCAATTTCTGAGTGGAAGAGAATTACCTTAAACTGAGTATCTTCCAAAATTCTCCTGCATTTATTACGTTTTTTTGAAATGGAGAAACTTAACTTTTTCTCTCTTCCAACATTAAGTGGTAGTCTTTTGTCTACAAAGAAAACACAAGGCACCCATTTTTATTCTTAATTTCATATTACACCGGTTAGAATTTCCGGTAAACTGCGGAGTGATGGGGCCATTAGTGCTGGAACTGTTCACACTCTGATGCCTAGGAAGTTATTTGATTAATACATTGAATTTGCACTTGGCAATTTTGCTGAAACTTCTCACTTCCAAATGATATGATGACTTTTTCCTTTTTCCTGGCTATTATAATAGCAAATGAGGCATTTTCCTCAAAATGAAGGGAATGAATTATAAAATGTTACTGGTCTGGTTGAAATTTATTACTTTTCAAGCAAATTATCAGGCTAAATGGGGATAGCATGTTCCCATGTATGCCAATTTTCCTCATAGCCATTTAAAATTTCAATGTTCTTCTGATCAAAGCCTCAACAAGTTCTGAGCAGCGGATTTAAAAATGTATATTGAAGAAGAAAGAACAAGAATAGCCTAGAATACCACTACAGTTTGGTATTATCTTTTGTGGGAAGTCTCTTCTTCGGCACACCCATGTCAATAGGAAACCATTGTTTAGAACTGGCTTTGAAAACTCATGGCACACAGCTTCATGCAGCCACACAAAGATGCAGCCACAGAGTCTGGCAAATAATGGAAAAGAAGGCTGCGCTACCCACAGCGGGAGAAGCCTGCACTCTCCCACAGTGAATGGTGCATAAGAGGGTAAACAAGCCATGTGGTGTGGACTTGTAAGAATATCGATTCATGTATTTTTTCATCTAGAAAAAAATCTCTAGACCCAGATCCATTTGAAAATGATTTCTCTAAGCTTAAAAGTGATGGCTTATAAGTTGTTAATGTGTTCTCTGTTATGTGGAAGTCTGCTTTTGTTATATTATCAAATTTAACAGGAGCGACTGTTTTGCTTCAAACTGGAGAAGGATCTCTAAAATAAAATACAAAAAGCACAAAAAGTGAGGGAAATTTATTATTTTCTTTGAAAAGTTTGAAATGAATATTTTAGTAGCAAAATAGACAAAGGATATCCACAGGTCATTCACAGAAAACTCAAATGTCCAGTAAACATTTGCAAAAGTGTAATATTTCATCAGAAATCAAGAAATATGGAAATGGACACAATATAGTACTTGTTGAAGTTGGGATGGCCAACTACTGGTTTTCATTTATTTGTATCTTCACCAATTCTTAGATTGTTAACACATCACAGCTGCCAGACTGGCAAGTTACTCTCCACATAGACAACTGCTTTTTCCACTCCTCCACTACATCCACTGTTTATCACCCAGTGTGCCTGACAGCACGGTGCACACAGACACCGTTCTTTTCCTCTGTGCAGATTTGCTGCATAGCCCCTTTGGGAGATCCAGACTATGGGTGGGAGTTCTGTGTTATTTTCCAGCTGTGAGATCCTCTCCTCTTGCTCTTCTCCTGTCTCAGTGATGGAGCCACACCAGTGGTCCAGACCGCAGCTACAGGAAGGGACACTCCCTGAGCCTGGGTCCCTGACACTCTGGGGAGCTGAATCCCTTGTCAACCCAGGTGCACGTGTACTATGAATGAAAATCAAACATATGTTTGATCAACTAGGATGGGAAAACAAATGAGAAACAATCTCAAAAATCACCAAGAATAACACATTTTCTAGGATGTAGACCTAGAAATAGAACTAGAAATATGTTTTTGGTTAAATCAATCATATTGCACTGCACTTGTTCTTTTTATTGTTAAAAGTGGTTGCAAAGTGGCTCACGTATTTCTGTTGCACAGCACTGGTCCAAGCTCTTTGATACGGCATCTCCTCTCGATTAAGTTGTCTGATGGATGCTGGAACCTTAAGAAGACAATGGACTCTACATATTGCAAAGCAAAGATTTCCCTTTAGTAATATAGTGATGTCACTTCCTTGCCTTGTGGTTTTTAAGTCCATTTCTGCCTATTCCCTATTCACTACCCTCAACCTCCTCTCATAGTCCATGCCTAAAATAGTTTCCTCTTCAGGCTCCCACTGCCTTATTTGGTCTTCATGCTAAATAACTACTGGAAAAGGTGACAACTTCATAGATGAATCCTCTAGGATTCAAGGATAATGACTCACATAATAAATCCCTGAATTTAACCAATTCACATCTCTCTTCCTCAGGCTCTGCCAATATTTATCTCAAGTCCAATTCTCTTCCCTGTTCCCCCCCCCCCCCGGGATCTGGAAGTGAGATGAAAAAAATTAAATAGCATTCTTCAAATACTCTCATACTCCTTCCTCCCATATGCAGAATCAAGTACAAAGGATGTCAATAGTGCAACCATACTCTCATGGTCCAGGGGACTCAGACTGCTTCGGAATCCCCCACCCGCTTTGAGAGGCTAGACATGGATGGTAGGTGAAATGCCCACATAGATTCTCTGCTGAGGCCACTGGGTGTTGTCGGAAAATCTCCACTCTTGTCCAAACCAGCATCTCTTGTGAACTTGTCAAAACAAAACAGTAGCCCAGCTTCCTTTCAGTTTATGCACAATTAACCAGCCAGAAGTGCCTGTAACTCAAAGTATACCCTGGAAGAATTCAGAACACCTGTGTCATGTAGAAGCACGCCTTCATATGCTTCAGAAATGTATCATACAAGGTAGGCTGTGTAATAAATAACTACCTTCCTTAACAATGGAAATGAAAGGGCAGAAAAAATCTTATAGTTACTTTATTTGACAAAATTTACTCTAACTCCTATATCTATATCCAAACGTGTTTCAAAACCAGAGCAGCAGACGCAGACTGTTAACACAGGAATTATAATAATGCTTAACATGTTATACAAAGTTTTGTTTTCTGCTCATATAGACATTCACAGATTCAAAAGTTTTCCCATAGGCTGAGCAGCATCACAACTTCATTTTCTGGGATGGCTTATAAGAAAAAGTCCTAAAGAGAGGGGGCTGGAGCTTTTGAGGGTTAATACATTGTGTTTAGTTTAGTTCATCAAACAGCGCCTGGCCCACAGGAGGGGCTCACAAAATATTTTGGACTGGGGATAAAAATTTGAATAAAATATAATCTATTGAGTACACTTAGTCAGTAGGTTTTTACAAAGTTTTACTTGCCTATATCATAAATATAACAAGGTTGTTTCATTTCTGGCCCCCAAAAGTAAAACCTACTTTAAAAAAAAATAATTTTATTAGTACTACTAACATGTAGTGACCAAAGATCCTTCAAAATTAACGTCAGAGTACACAAGTACTCAACTGAATTCTGCCCCTACTCCCTCCAATTTTGTTAAGAAATGTGTCCACTTCATGACATTACCTACATGTTAACAAGCTACTTTCTAAAGCTCTTTATTTGGGGAAGACAGCCACTTCTGCTTTCCCATTTTTATGACTCCTAGAATACCTTTTAACTGCTTAAAAAGTATTACAGTCCTGAAAATCCCGGAAACCTTTGCTACATATTCTACTCACAAAATTCAATTCCACGTAAGTACTTAAAAATGTGTTTTAGGTAATACTTGAACAACAGCTGATACTGTGAATCGTAAATATTTCAAGCTGATGCTAAATACTCTGACCGGGCCAGCTCTCAGCCCAGCCATTCGAGAAAAAGCTGCTAAGAGGTGAGGTATAGGAGAATAAAATAAGTCACAGGCTTTTCTTCTCCTCTTTGTATCTTAGAACTCTTTCATGCAGGAGGGCACAAGTCTGTAGCACGGATAAAACTTCAGAATGCTCTTCGTCATGTAGTGAAGTGTTACAACACCTAACAGCCACAAAGCACCAAATAAAAATGCACAAAACCAAATTATGAACCAAATTATGTAATAAAATGATCCGCAGGGGTTTCTACTCCTGTTTGTTCATAAAAATGAGACTCCATCACTTACTGTGCTTTCATTATCTAAAAATGAGATCAAACCATTATAAAAATGTACTTCCAAAATAAATTATTTCTGGAATATAAAAATGTTGTATACATTTTCCCAACCCACGTATTATAAAATAGGAAACCAGAAAATTAGCTTTTGTAATTTTCATGTGGTAAAAAATACTTATATGTGTACATACACATATATAAAAATGTAAGTTTTAAATTTTAATAAAATCAATCAACTTAAAGATCTCATACTGAAGAAATTTGAGTATTTGTGAGAACAAACTTTAAAGGAGTGTAATCCCATCCATCAGAGGATAATCTAAGACTTCCGCATGTGAAAAACAAAACAAAGAACATGAAGTCTCCACCTAATTGCCAAACCCGTTAGAAATCACTGGTGTCCTTTCAGGGGTCAGTCCCTCCCCCTTCACTGGATCAGTGAGCACCTCAGGAAGCTCTGGAGGCCTGGGGAAGCTACCCTGTGACTCAGTCCTCTCTACTGCTACTTGATGGTCAGTGCCCAGCTGCCTAGGCCAGTGAAGGCTAAAATTCAGGTTGGAGCTGTCCACCAAGCTGTCACCTGCCCACGTACACTCAGGTGCTTTGCAGGTTGTTAAGAGTCCTACTGGCTGTGGGTAGAGAGGGGAGTGGAAAGATGAGCACTAGGGAAGTGTGGTTAAGCTACATCACCAGCAGGCCAGCACTGACAATGAAAACCAGGGGTTATGTCTGCTACAGTTTTTGCAAAGACAGTGGGGGATTCCTATCTATTCTGTTGATTTCTCCCGTTTCCAGTATTAGTATGAGGGAAGGTCTTCCCCACGCCTCAAAGGCACAGAAGGAAAGGATTGAGAGGAGATGGGGAAGCTGTCCTATTCCACAGTAGCGCCTGTTCAGAAAGCAGGGGAAGTGGAGAAGGGGCTGGCCTGCGGAGCAGCCCTTGCGATCCCTAGCGATGCAGAACAGGCAGCCTCTCATTCTTGGACCAGTCCCTAGGTGAAAAGCAAGTCCTGCCAGACTCTTCTCATAGCCCGCTTTACAAGCCTACCTTCAGCTGTCTTCCCCAGGGTCTGTCTGTGTTGTAGGAAACCTCTTCCTTTACATTTTAAACTGGCCATTAAAAGTAGGCTGTGGGAATGCTATAGGCAAAGAGGAGACTTTCTTTTCAATATTTTCCCCCGTAACTTTTTTTTTAAAGGCACATTCCCTACCCAATTCTTACAAGTCAAGACTTTTTTTTAAAAAAAAGGAAAAGCAAAATACTTGAAAAATTTTTTTAAAACAGTTGTTTAAGTAGTAAATGCAGGCAAATCCTTGGAATCATTCCTTTAAACAGCCAACAAAAGGAAAACTCAGTGCTACATAGAAAATGAGTATCACAGAATGCCGAGGGGTTAAAGAATGGCCATTTTTTCAATAACCAAATTTAAGATAACTAATGATGTAGAAAATGTAATTTCTGCTATGTAACAAATATTCTGGAGAGGAGTTAAAGCGAAAACAAAGTGTATGTGCACACCAAAACGTAGGCTTCATTCTTCAGTAGCATTTCTAAGAGGAGCATGTGTAAAGCACTCGAAACTTGCACCTCTGCATGAATGATGAAAGGTTCATATCTACTCAGAAATACGGGCACTAAACAAAGAAAGGTCTCCAATCCCACTGAAAATCTGCTGGGAATTTTACATCCTTTCTCTAGAGAACTGCATCCACTTGTGTGGACAATTCCAGGGCCTTCTAATATCTCCTAAGGTCCAGCCCTGAGCTCAGACTAAGGGCTCTCGACATTCCTACAGGGGTTCTGAAGAATAACAATCCTCATTCCTCTAGTCTGGGTTTCTCCTACTGAATCTGGGAGGGGGAAACCTCAAATCAAATGAAAAAACAACTTGCTTCAAATGCCAAATTTTTACTCATTTGCCCTTGGAATAAAGAACATCCCAGTCTCTAGTTGCCTCTATCAAATGCCGCTGGCCGTGACTCATCCACTCTTCCTGGTCTTCATATAGACGCCCACAAAACCAGCACTTAAAGATGCACTGTGACGAGTCATCAGGCAAGGAATCCACCACTTGGTAGTTGTTTTTATGAACTTTTTTCAGTTTCATCTTCAACATCATTTGCCTCTTAATCTGGCTAGCTTCCTCTGTGTTCTGGTAGGTGAGTCGTAGGTGATGCCGGCGAATGCCCAGCTGACACCTAGTCCTCTCGGACAAAACCACTTTCAGGACATTGCCTTTGTACTTGTTGATTACCTTCATCACATTGGTCACTTCTGGTGAGTCAACATCGGGATGATTCAGCACAATGACAGGCTGGTTCCGTCGGGGGCATTTAATCAACTGGTCCGGTTTAACTGCTACCAGTCGAAGCTGTCTTGCAACCTGAAAAATGGAAGGATCCTTGAGGCAGCGGCTGGACTCAGCCTGAATCTTGCTCTTCTTCTTGGATGAGCTTACTTGCTTGCTTTTACTCCTGCTCCCAGGAAGACTTCTGGAGAGCAGCCTCCCATGCTGCCCATGCATGGTACCTGTTTTCTTAGGAGTGGTAGTACAGATGGCATCCTCTTTTCTAAGTTTCGGCCGAAGAGATGTCTCGAGGCTCCAGGACATGTCTATTGGGTCACTTTCACTCATCAAAGGCTGCAAGACTGAGTCTGATTGTTTCACAGGACGGACTGGAACTGGTTTTGGTAAATGAGCTTCACTGCAAGGAATGGTGACAGGTGCATCGCAGGTGGCCTCTATGATGTGAGCGTCCTCTGAGGAGTTGAGAACCCTTAACACAGCCCCCTTGGGGATCAGCACTGGAGTAGCCATGGGTGCCTTTCTGGTCCCTCTGCTTTCAGTTCTCCGAGCATTGACGCTGCTGGTGAACTGTGGATAGATCTCCGGCTGTGTAATCTGTCCACTGCCAATAATAGCAACTTCATTCTGAGGTTTCTGGAGAGGACCTGTGGAAGGTCCAGGGCCAGTAAGCGACACATTAAGTTCTTCAATACACTCAGAAGCTGCTTTTGCACTTACCTTGGATGCCTGCCCCACAGAACGACGGTGTGTGCCATTTGCAGACAAAGAGGAAGGCTTGCCACAGGACTCAATTAACTGAGCTATCTTCCTGCGCAAGAGCTCAATTGACTTTATTTTGGATGTTGAACTATTCCACTTAATACTCTCTGGCACATTTTCAGATCCAGAGCTCAGAGAAAATACTGATGAGATGACTGGGCCATCGAAAGTGTCCTTAGTCCTTTCAGAATCCAACTCTACAGGCTTTTCCCTGGTTTGGTGAGACTTAACTCTTTCTTCTCCAGTTATATTTATGTGTAAATACTCACTTTTATGTGGAGAGGAAATCTGACTGACATTTGAAATTACCTTGCTTTGCTTTGTCTGGTTGTCTTCCAGCTTTCTATTAGAGGAAACCATTTTTACAGGAATACTAATATTACTTCGAGGTTCCAAGTCATTTTCACTTAAGGGCAATACACCCCTTTCTCCAGAAAAGGAAAGAGCTGCAGGCCACGCAGCAAGAGGAAATGACTGCTGCGAGTCACTGCGTAAATTTCTTCCATCTTCAGTGAAAGCAGCAGCAGCTTTATATGGAAAAGGGTTTGATGCAGGTCCAAGACCACAGAAAACACTGTTTCTTACTACAGATGACGGAGAGTGGGTTTTTAAGGCAAGAGAAGGAAGGGCGGTTCTATGTGCATACAAACTGTTTCTCCTCTGCAAGTCCTCAACCATATCAGAATTAAAAAAGGATTCTCTATAGTTGTGAACACTAGAGTTTGACATGAAAAAATCGTAAGACTTTACCCATTTCACATTTTTAAGTTGCTTCTGAACTGAAGATTGAAGACTGTCAATGCCTAAAAGTTTCCCAACATTCCCTTCAATTGTTAGCGAATTTGTTTTTTCGGCACCAAGTATTTTTTCTTGTTCATTTGAATGCCTCTCTTTAGTTGTATGCTCAGAGTTACATCCCTTACCCCTGTCAGCTTCAAGGCGATTATTTTCTTCCAGTGGAAACAATTTCAGAACAAGCTGCTGTGTGCCGTTGACAACCTTCACGTCTATCAACTGGGCTAAGCAGTTTGCAGGAACAACAAGCTCTGACGGGGCCACCACTGTCAACGGCACACCTGGCTGAACAGGTTCCTTTGAAGGGGACAACACTTCTACCTCAACGCTTTTGTTCCCAAACAGACCGGCCTCGTTAGGCTCAGGTAGGGTCATTTTGTTTGGAACGCACACTACATCTTTTTGGTGTTCTTTTGATTCAGGTAACAGCATGATGCTGTGCATTTTGTCTTTATTTGCTTGGAGAGAGAACCTTGAAAGCTGATCGGACAACTTATTTTGAACCATAGTCCTTGGACTGGGAGCCTTCAAAAGCTCTGTGTTTTGTCTTGAAATGCTGATTCTTTTCGGCTCTAGCTTACCAACAGTCTTGAGTGGCCGTTTAGCCCCGGCCCTCTCGTGGACTCTTTTCCGATGCTTCACAATGTAATCATTTCTAATAGCACCATAGTCACAGTACTCACACTGATAAGGGAATATGCCTGTATGCTTCACCAGATGCCTCTGAAACTCTCCTTTTGTGTACGAAATGTAGCTGCAGTGAGAACAAATGAATTTAATCTCTTCATGTTGAAGTGTGTGCTTTTTGTACTGCAGTGGGTCTTTTGTAGAAAACCGACATTTATCACAATAATATTTGCCTGGCTTAAAGTTCCTTACCTTAAATTTGTTGACAGGACTTGAGATAGTTTCCGTATTATTTCCAACATGGGTGGCACTGGGATTATTGTTCACAAAATGAAAACGAGGAGGAGACACATGAATGCTGCAATTGAGACAGACATATTTGTCTTCCTTTTGGCTTTGTCCAGTATCTTTCTTCAAATCCTGAAGAGGGATTTTGTGAACACTTTTGCACTTCACACATGTGGCAATGGTCATCAAGGCAGCCTCTGCCTCTGAGCCTTGGTACAAGAGGGTTTGTGCTTCTTGTCTATCTGGCCGAGTTGCTCTACTAGAATTAGGCTGTTTGGGCGACATGGTCAAGGAGCTGTGTCCACCATTCATTTGTGCAGTATACAGCTGTTCTCTGATATCCTTCATTTTCTTTATCTGCATTTCTAAAAACAGCTGACAAATTCAGAAAGATTTACATGCTAAATCCTTTCGAGGCATCTTTCAACACATTTTGTGACTGGTGGAAAAGCAGCGGCCAATTCCTGGTGTACGCTTAATAACCTTTTTTCGTGTACTGCCACTGTAGGTACATGATCCAAAATGTGACTGCTTTCAATACTTTGGCAGTCCAGGGATCACTACAGGAAAACAAAATCATAAAGCACAATTAGAAGAATATAAGGATTAGCTAAGCTATTACTAAGCTTATCCTGTATTTTAATGCCCTTAAGAATTCTATGCTAAATCTCAAACTGGGATCTTACCTGAGTTATAATAATGCAACATCAATTGCAACCCAGCTAAACTGAAAATTTTCAAACTGAGCCCCTAAAAGCCACCATTTTAGACAGCCCTGAACACAAACATGCTGGAGGAGATATCACAGTAGTCACATAGCACAGCCTTTGGCCAGTGCTGGTGCAAGTGTAATTTCACATTGGCCTTACGCAGCCTGGCGTAGGGCACTGTCAGTTCTGGATTCTGATGTGTGAAGTCACCCAGGGAAGTGTTCGCATTCGCTTCCATGTTACTGCTTATGTTCAGCTTGGGCTCCAGCTCTTTCTTATACACTGAAATCTACCGTCACAAGTGGCAAGAAGCCAGCAGAACCGACAATATTAGGAAGCATCTTACCGAGCACCTTTCAAGTGCCAGACATTATCCAATGGGCTACAGGGCTGTGAACGAAAGCAAATCAGTCCCTACACTCACAATGCAAGACTACGGCACTGTCGAACGAACGGCGGTTAAGATAACTGTCAAAGAAACACCATTAAAGTCAGGCAAGGACAGCAAGGGTGTACATGAGTGTGTGTGGAGAGCTGGCGTTCGCAGGTGAGGACAGCTGGGCAAACGGTCAAGCTGGGTAAGTGATAGATGAGCAGAGATCTAGGGGCAACCAAGAAGTGACCTCTGTGGGCATCTGGAAGAACAGAGTTTCAAGTAGAGAGGCAGCCAAGGTCTGGGGGAAGTAAGCCTAATGCACTTGGGAAGAGGGGAGGAAGGGCTACAGACACAGTCAGAGGGAAAGGGGAGACCAGACAAAGAAAGATCTACAACAGGGGTGGTGAACCTATGGCACCTGTGCTGCAGCCAGCTGTTTGTTATCACTGAAAGGTCCTAAAAGGTTCGCCATCGCTGCTCTGCAGCACTGCGGCACAGAAATGTGGCTTTTCCTCAACACAAGACAGAGAAGCAGGTGAGAGACTGGAGCAGCGGCAGGACATGACCTGATTGATAGTCCAACAATCTCGATCTGCTGTGAGGCCCAGAGTCTGAGAGGGACAAAACAACGGCAGCACGGAGACCACGAACAGCTTGGACTGAGGCTTGCATGACAAGGGTTTTCTAAGGCACAAAAGTCAGTCCTCTGGTACCCACACGCTATGTGTCACACAGTGGCTAATTTTTACATAATCTTTAGACTTCCTTTTTGGACCATATCATGCTAAAAGCCAAACTAAAACCATGCTACTGTGAGGATGGGTACAAGCCTAAGACCCCTTGGATCTTTTCAACCTCACTTTTTTCATATGGTAATCAAAATGAACTAGGGACACTTCTCCAAACCCTCCCACAGCTGGTTCAATGATGACTACAATCCTCAAGAGTGTAAGAGAGCCCTTGGGAGTTTAAAGTCCATCTCCAAGTGTCAACGGGCACACAGAGGCACACAGTGAGTCTGTTTGGTGCTGGGCATAGGCAGAGCTGCTGGCTAAGGACTCAAAGCTGGTTTGAAGGGCCGGGGAAGGGGAGCAGAAAGGCCTCTCTGCAGGGTCAGAACAACTGCTGCTTATTCAGATGTGGCCCAAAACTAGCCCTTTCAAAGCAGCTTTGGAAAGCACTAAATGACCATTTCACGTTTGATCACAACCTTCATCTGTAATGTTCTCTTTTCCAATTCTGCTCCAGTGACAGACAGTTACCTTCTTTCAAGAGCAATTTCCAGCATGCAACTCTACTCTGATGGCATCTAGGGATTCAGTCAGACTTGCCGGACCACACATGATATTGGGCATCCAGTGGACAGGGCCCTGGGGGCCTCGAGGTGCTGTCTGTCCCCTCCATGTTCAAACACATACCTATGCTACAGGACCCTGATTTTGGATAGGACACACGAAATGCCCTGAATTGGTGACAGACGAACACTGGCAATGACAAGAACTTTCTATTCTACTGCACTCCTGCTACAACACCAGCTAGGCCTTTCAGAAGTCACTGGGAGACACTGTCACACACTTTTATTTTGCACTGGCTCTAGAGAAGACAGAGGTGGCAGCCAGAACTTCTGAGTTTTGAAGTGATCTCAAGCAAACCACCCACTGGTATTGGCTCTGTCATCCATGAAATGCAGGGCTGGACTACAGGATTTCTAAGCCTCGCCTGTGTTGCTGATTGTGGGAAAACAGGCTTAATCATCTCAGCACACTCCTCTCGTCTGTATGTCCATGCTGGTGTTCCAATCTAGCTAAACCAAGGAAGTCAGCAGGAGCCCGAGAAAGCCACAGGCCCAAAGAAAAAATGCAGAGGCTTCCCCAGTGATACGGGATTCCGCCCAGGGGTCTGCAATCTGCAGGGGCCTCAAGCTCACCCTGAAACAGACACTCCTGGGCTGCGTCCCAGAGCTAGTTACTCCAAGTCCACCAGGAAAGGGGAGGAGGGGGCACCCCAAATGCTTCCAATGAAAACCCAGATTTGAAACCACTACAGCTTCCAGCCACATTTAAATCCTTAAAACATCTCCACCAACTGACCACACAGTTGGTGCTCTAAACACCAAGCTTCCTTCTTTTGACAGCAGATTTTACTTTCAAATAGCTTTCATGGTCAACAAATCATCCCTCAATGAAACTGAAGTCAGCTTCCCTGTAACCTTCTTCCACCTTGACTCTGGAGCTGCAAAAAATAACCTAATCGCTCTCAATAGGTCAATTATTAATCTGCATTTCTCTCCTCCTATCCTGCAGCCCTGGGTCCTCAATTCTGTCCCAAAGATTTGCATACCGAACAATATGTAAATTTAAGCTCTTGCCTACCAGCTTCAAGTTGAGAGAAAAGAAACTGATTTACTTACTTGGCCCAGCACAACTTGCTCACCGACTGTTTCAACATAACACTTTATATGTACGTTAAGTAATTCTCAACAACAACAGCAAGAAATATGTGACGAGAGTCTTCTATTCTATCCAAACCAGGATTCCATTTGCCCCATTTTCAGTTTTTTGGCACCTTTCTCAGCCTCTGATATTCTTCAAACATCGCGGAGTGCAGTTTTGCCATTTTCTCTAGTCCCTGCAGAGCTGGGAGGGTGTCATTCCCTCTAAGTCAAACTAGACTGGATGGCAAGATTACAACCATCTGAAAAAACAGAAGAGAATCCTGAAAAAGTCTTCAGAGAATCAGGCTGGCTTGAGTGCCTGAGGAACACACAGTCCTCTCAGCAATCCCTCTTAAAAAACTACCCAAGCAGTTACAGATACTCCTCTGCTTACAATGGGGTTACAGCCCAGCAAACCCAACAAAAATTGAAAATGGTGTAGGTAAAAAATACATTTAATATACCTAACCTATTGAAAAGCACAGCTTAGCTCAGTCTGCCTTAAAGACGCTCAGAACATCTACACATTAGCCTCCAGTTGAGAAAATCATCTAACACAAAGCCTGTTTCATAATAAAGTGCTGAATATCTCATGTGGCTTGCTGAATACAGCACGGTGCAGAGTACAGTACTGGTGGTTTACACTCATGATTCTGCGGCTAACTGGGAGCTATGGCTCACTGCGTCTGCCCTACAGCACAAGAGAGTACTGCACTGCTTATTACTGCATCGGGAAAGGACAGAAATGAACCATACACTTTCTACTGAATGCATACTGCTTTTGCACCACTGTAAAGTCACAAAATCTTAAGTGGAACCATAGTAAGTCAAAGATCATAAGCAATATGCATCCTGACTTATGAAGTCACTGGAACAAGAGCCAGTGTGAAGCAGGAGGCTCTGCTGAGCCGTAACAAAATATTCTTGGACTCTCAACTACTGTCAAAATAATGACATGTTGCTACATTGCCATTTCCCTAAGTCTCGGTGGCAAAGAGGTGAGGTTTCTTCAAAACAAGCAAAGTTCTCTTCAGCCTTCACAACTTGTGGCTGTCCGTGGGAGTAGGGCAAACCTCTCAGTTACATCGTGCAGAGACCAAGGTAAATGGAAGCTGCAGTATGGGAGGGGAGGGGAGGGGAGGGGAGGGGAGGGGAGGCGCTGGTATCTGGACGTGAGCACTCCTGAGCACAGCCTGCCCATGCGAAGGGGGCCAGGCCCGGTGCCCTGCACACGACAGCCTCCATCTGGGTGACACACAAGTGCAACCACCTGTGAGGCTGAGTCCTCTGGCAAGTTACTGCTCAGTGGGCTGATGACCAAAGATCAAGACGACGTGGCCGATGCGGAGCTGTGCACGGTGCACCTGATGCTGAGGCCACCATGGAAACCACCACGAACATCGGTGTCAGAGCTTACCTACATGTAAACACATGGTGCCTTACCAGAAGCCTCTGCGCTTGACCCCTAGGATGAGAAACATCCTCAGAAGGCCTAAGTGAAGCATGGCTAACCTCACGGCACAGGAAGATGTCCATTCAACAGTGAGCTATCCGTCGTCCACACATAACGTCGCCGCTTCTAATGTAGCTCTCTAATGTGGAATTATCTACAGCAAAAGCCAAAGGTGACTGTCACAGGCCAGAGATGCACGGCTGTTGCAATCTGTTCTCTGCACTGTCTTGCCTGTCTTTGCAGGAAAGCCCTGGGGAAAGGCCTCCTGCTTTCGCTGTGGGAGGGCGTTCTGATTTTGAGCTCGCTTGCCCGGATTTCTTGAACACTTACGGGGATATGAGGGGAAAAACAGTGACTCTGGAAGAAGCCGGCTCATTGATAGAGTACTTAGCTGCCTGACAACTGCTCTCAGAACATACACTGGATCTCATGTTAAAATTTAAATCACACTTGTTCGAAAGAGATTTACTTCTGGAGCAAACAACCTGTTAGTTTTAGTGGGAAAGTGGCTACCAGCTGTGTTTAATCATCATGTTACAGAAAAGCTCCACTACTGAGTACTCACTCACTTTGGATATGTGTGAGCTAGTTACTGACCTACCTTTTCTCATTTCCTTTTCTGTGTGTGTGTGACTGTGTAACAGAATTGAATGCAGGACCTTTGCACTGACCTACATAGCCAGCCCTTTTAAAAAATAAATTCTTACATTAAATTATGAAACAGGTTTTTGGCGAATTTGCTGAGTTGTCCAGGCTGGGCTCAAACCTGCAATCCTCCTGCCCCAACCTGTCAAAGTGTGAATACAGGTTTGCAACACCGTGCCTGGCTTTGCCCTTCTCTCAAAGCTCAGCCGCACTGTGAAACGGCCCTGTAGCAAATGAACGTACTTCTGTGTAAGACGTTAACGTGAAAAGAGAAGCGGTTGGCCAATTCTACCGCATACATTTTTGTATGTATGAGAAATGCCCAGCAAACTCTGCATTAGTTGACTGACCATATCCTTTTTGAAAGGAAAAACAAACTGAAGCACCTCTTTTCAGCCATTTCAACCAGAAATCCTCCTTTCATTGTTGACTGTGGATCCTACCACATCCATCACTGGGACAGTGATGCAGCTGCTGTACCCATGAACTGCAAAAGACAGAAAGGTCTGAGGTTCCAACTCGGCTCTTATCCCTTACGTGGCGGCTCCTTAGGCAAGTGATTCATCTCTATTCACTGCCAGGCAAGGAAATCACTTCCATATCTTCAAGCTTACAGGATGATCAGAAGCAAACTGGGTAATGTATATAAAGGCACTTGCCCAACGGCACAGCCACTCAAAGACTATGTCTATGCACTCCTTTTGTCTATTTAGCCATCAAAGGATTTCTAACGAGCTTTTTGTAGTAACCTAAACTTTAAATCAATTCGACTTCTCCTGAAGTGCCCATGTACAAGAGCAACAGGTAATTAGGAAAAAATTCAACATTATATATGTAAACTGGAGATGACACCGAGGAAGAAACCACTGCCTAATCAAGAGCTTTTCTGACTGTTAATGAGTCGGAAATGAACTGACTAGATCTAAATAGAGAAAAACATAATTACGCATTGCAATCTTTACGCCAAGCTACCTTACGCTTAACATTGTAAACCGACTGCCATCTTGATGGCAAAAGAATACTTCCAAAGGTTGCAGACGAACACAACACCCTTGGGAGCCCGATCTTCCTTCTGAAATGAATTGTGTTGCCTGGACAACACAATGGGGCCAGAAGGCTGCTGCCTTCTAGGTGAACACGGCTCCGTGGAAGAGCGGAAAGAGTAACGGGATAACAAGAGCCAGGTCCAGAACCTGGTCTCTGGCTTACTAGCTAGCTGTGTGATTTCAGACCTGTTAACCTGAGCCAGGTTCCTCACTTGTAACACAGGAGTAATGACACCTACTCGACACGGCTGACGGGTGGATACAGTGACAGCTCACTGTATGACTGGCCAAGAGGTGTTTTATCAAGACAAAAGTCAACACGTTTTTGTAAGACACCTTCACATGGAGAAGAGTGTTGAAAGGTCCAGAGAAGCAGAAACCAGAAAGCTAAACAAGGGAGGCAGATGAGTCAAAGATGGGCAGGGCCAGGGCCAGCCCTCTCTCCTGCCCCTCCTACAGGTCTTTGGGGGTGACTTGGCGCTGCCTCAAACATCAACGGAGTCTAAACAAAGTAGTAATTTTATGGGCTTGTTCTCTCAACAATTTAAGAGAAATTCTTTGCTAAGAAAGAATGCACCCAGTGTTGCAGTCTTTGGAGTCTAAAGTAACTAGTTTTACATAAGGAAGAAATGTTAAGGAGCAAATATACTTACTAGCATTAAGTACATATGTGGTAAGAACGAGGAGTAATACAAGCAATATTATAAAATTCCGAATGCACTAAAGTATGCAACACACACAGAGTTGTCTTGAGATCTCTAAAGATGCTTAAAATGGACACATAGATTTTTGTTATCCACCTCCTTCCTGCCTCAAAGCAAAACTAGAGTTTTGCAGAAGAAACAGGTTAAGAGTTTCAAACTGAGAATAAACATCTTCCCCCTTAGTCTTGGCTCTGGGAAGGCAAAACTTGTCAGGAAGCACTCGTCGAGTTTAGAGGAGGTCTCTGGGACGATGGACTATGCTGCTACTCACTGAAATTCTTGGGGCTTTAAAAATAATGATGCCTGGGCCCTGCTCCCAAAGGCTCTACTTAAATTGGGGAGGAGGCAGGGCGAGTCCAAACATTGGGCTTTTCAATGTTTCCTAGGTGATTCGAACAAGCAGCCAGTTGGACCCATGTGACAACACAGGTGCAGGGGCATGTGGGGTGGCTGGAAGGACACCAACGCCTGGCAGTATCTTCTACTGGGGGTGGAGCAAGGCTACTGCCTGGGACGCAGTGGGTGACCGGACACAGGCTCAGTTCTACCCCTGCCCAGCTGTGCGACCCTGGGGACATCCCTGTTGTTTCTTGCGTGCATAAAGACAGAATCTACTTTGCAGATCCTCGGCAACTTGAATGTGCTGGGCAGTGCCTGGCCCGGCCTGAGTACAGTGTGCACAGACTGGGGACCTGCCATGGGTTGCTATCCCTAGGAGTATGGCAAGAAGAGGAAGAAGTGGGTAGTTTCAGCAGAGACCCCTGCAGCAACGATCTGACCGGTGCGCATGTGCGCCTGCTTAGTGGTTGGCACCAAGTCAGATAGACAGGGTGCCAGCAGGAGCAGATTCACATTACCTCCATACCCCTCAAAGCAAGCCTTCAATGACCTGCGTCTTCAATGGGTCTGGAAGAGGTCTATGCCTGTGCTGTCGTCACAAAGAGCTAGAGAATGGGCTGCTGCAGTGATCCAATCTCAACTCGTTTTGCTGTTACCCTGCTGAGTGGAGCGTGGAGCCTGGAGCTGGGATGTGAAGTTCGAGGGCTCGGCCTGAGCACTGCGTGGACTTCCTGCCTGGAGCCGCTGGGGGAGGGGCAGGTCTCAGGGGCTCTTCCTTCAGGCCTTTTCTTCTCCGCCACACTTCAGGCCCTGCTGTGGGTGTCTACACTCAGCACCCTGGGCTGCACAGTGAGCCTGCAACAGAAGCCAGACACCAGGGTTTCAGATTTATAGCTGCACAGCTTTGTTTGGGGGGAGGGGGGCACGTTTCTTCTAGAAAATAAGAGAATGAGCCGCAGAAGTGTTTCTGAGACACGAGTGTTCGTTCCCTGGGGCAGCTTAAAACCTGCAGTTTTAAATTCTTCCCAGGTAAGTCTGAAGCTTCCCCATTCCCAGTGCACGTTGGGAATGTCTGCAGCTGCAGATGAGTCCTACAAATTGTGGTTGGCTGGGTTTGCGTATGGCGGGGGGTGCAGTAGACAACAGGCAGAGAGAACAATCCCGATTGGAAAACTCTGCTTATCATAACCAACAGCACAGGGCTCGGCTGCAGAAGGCTCCCTGGGTTGAAAGAAAGAGTGAGTCAAAGAAATGGCAGCAGCCTTCCTAGTGACAACAATAAAGATGTTCTTTGTTCTTCCTCATGCACGAACACTGGCTCAGCTCCTCTTACAAGCAAACAGGCCAGGAGAGAAAGAAGTGTGTGTGTATGTGTGTGTGTTGAACTGTCATTTCTGAGTTTTACAAATCGAGTTTAGCATATCAGATCAGGGAGGAGACCCAATAAACAAAGTAATGTTCTTTGTTGTTTTCAAATTGCACTTGAAATGCTGTGAGTACTGTATAATAAAACTGGACTCATACAAAAACCTGTTAAGTTTTCAAGGATACTACATGAGGGCCAAGAGAAAAGTAATTTTTAAAAAACATGCATCCTTGGTTAAAGATAATATCATACCATTTAAAAATTAGAATACTCAATTGGTACTCTAAGCAAGGAAACTGTATGTCATTGGTTTCTCAGAAGATTTTGTGGGCTTCCAGAACCTTGGGCTGGTGTCGGCCCCCAATCGTGGGTGGGGCTGAACTTTGCATCTGTGAGTCAGAGAGATGGAGCCCTATCTTAGAGCTCCTCCTCTGCTCTTTATTTGTATTAGTATGCGTTGCAGTATATAATGATTATGTTTCTCACGGAGAGCTGGTAGGGGCACACAAAACATCTTCATTCTTTTTGTGTTCCCAGCCACCTCCCTCCACCTCCCGGTCCCCTTCCCAATTTGCAAGAGCTCTATTTCACTATTTCCCACTATCTTTCATTTTGCTCTTTATTTACACTTTGAGTTTCTCCTATAGGAGAAACCATGTGATCTTTAAGCTTGTGCGTCTGATTTATTCCACGTAACATCATAGCCTCCTACCGAAGGCCTGTGGGGCTTCCAAGGAGATTTCGGTTCTAAACTTGTGATGATGCGTTCAGGACCCCGACACAACCCAACAGTTTAGCTGCTTGGACTCCTATGTTAAACAGGCCAACGGACTTCTATTTTTTTTTTTTAATGTTACTTTGATAAGGTGTTCCTTACCCCAGTACCCAACATGTCCTCTTCTCTGCTTTGGCTTTTTCTTTTCGGTTATGACCTGTTCTCCTTCTGGTTTCCCTGGCCTCAAACTGCCCCACCCCCAGGCGAGGCGATAAGAAAGGGCCAGCAGGGACAGGGACAGGGACAGGCCCGGGCCCAGCGCGTGACATCGGCCTCTGGAACGATTCAAAGCCCCTTCTCTGCCCACACCACGCACAGTGCCTGCGGACAAGCCCAGCCCGACGCCCTGCACCTCTCCAAGGAAAGACAATGCAGTCTGGATTTCAAGTTTATTGTTGGCTCGCCTGGCGGCGCACACCCCTTCGAGACGCGTCCAGGCCGCGCGTCCGGGCCGGGCGGGGGGCGGGGGTGCCCGAGTGGGCCGGGGGGCGCCGGGCGGGCGTCCCGGAGGGGTTTCCGCACGCCGGGGGCCTCCGCGTCAAGGCCGGCGGGGCCGCAGAGGCTTTAAAAATGGCCTCCTGACGACACTTCCTGCTCGGCGCGGGCCTCGGAGCGAGGCATCATTTAAACGCTGGGGGCGGGGACGGGGCGACAGCCCGCACCGGGCCGGGCCGGGCGCTGCCGCACAAAGGCAGGAGCGCGGCGGCCGGGGCGCCCCCTCCCGCGGCGA